TCTTTTAAATGATTGTTAACAAATGATCTAAAAATTTTAAACAGAAAAAACCGACTCTCATTGTTAACAAATGATCTAAAAATTTTAAACAGAAAAAACCGACTCTCTCCCAAGCGACATAAAAGGCGATACAACCACAGTTTCTCCGTTGATTTCTTTGCCGCCGGCTTTTGTCGGTGGCTTCTCTAATCCTTTAATTCCTTTTTAGTTTCTTTAGTTTCAATAATTGCTATGGGAGTTGTGTATTTTCAGCGGACAACTGTCCGATCCAATTTCTTTTGGTTGATGGTTACAACGACGAGTGTGATTGGGATAACGTCGAAGAACACTGTTCATCATCTCTCAAATCTATTGATGCAGTTTCCGAATCACATGGAATTGTTTGCAGATCTGAAATCAAGAGGTATCTTCATGCACCCTTCAAAACAAACTGCTTATGGTGTCTCGTTAGGAGACTTTTCTTTTGTCAAACGGGAACGGTTACGCTCTTGGTTTTATTCTCCGATTTTGGAGGCGATTCATTCATGGTTTGTCATTTGGATGTGTATGTGTTATGATTTCATCCAAGACGAATGTGTTATCTCCGTGAAGAGTATATTAACTTTTCATGATGCCCGATATCCACAATCCCGATCATTGAAGAGGATTGGTTATAGATTCCGTAGATTTATATCGTGTTTTGATCAGCGCATTTGGGATCCAGGTATAATAGATTCATGGAGAATCGAAAAATCAATGCAAGAAAAAATATTGAGTATCATCAATAACATTAGACGACTTTGGAGTTTCATTCAAGAGATGATAGCCAAAAACGACGATCTCATTGTTTTGGGATTGATTTTGGAGAAAGAAAGAAATGGATTTATTAACCCATTGGCAAGTAAGGCTTCGGTATCGAAAGCATCGTGGAAATTCACTTCTTCATCGTTCTTATTAATGTTAATGTTTGTTTGGTTATGTAATTGTGGATGTGTATTTAGATTTGATCATTATTGATGTGTTGTTAATGTATCGAACTCTTGTACGTGATTTAAAATGAATGAATGAATTAGATGTTAAAAAAAAAAAAATTTAAACAGAAAAAGTTCACAAAAGTTCAATTTTAATTAATTTAGACTAATTTTTTTTAATGAATCGCTATAATTAGATAAAAGAGATATTTTTCTTAGTCTTTGTGAATCTAAACCTTTTTATTATAATTTTGGGGAACTTGCCTTTGATTAATTGATATAATACCCTAAACTACCATATTCTTAAAACAAATTTACGACTTCACATGTACGTCATATAATCATATGTTTTGAACTCTCGAGACACTTTTGTGTTCTTGATCATATTTACAACAAATTACACCCATTTCTGTTTGAATTCCAATAAAGTACCC